AATCCCCAATGAGCGACTGTCTTGTACTACTGTGCCAACTGATTCCTCTCCTTGCCTCCATTTGAACAGGAAAATCAAGCCATGAACAGGCCTGTTYAGATATCAAACAAGAAAGAAAATAAACAAAAATATTTAAAATTGTTGAGATAAAATTGTTGTATATGGTGTTTAGCTTTACATAATATTGACATTGTATATATTTACAGGTTTTGCATTTTGCAGTTTTTGCTTTAAATTGCATTTTCTGTTATGAAGGAGTTTATGTAACTTTGGTGCATATTTAAGCTTACTTATTTATCATTGTATCGCTAATTTTTTTCAATAAAATTATAGCATCAATTTGACTGATTAAGATAATAATGTGAAACATTCATTGTGCAGTTTTCTTCCATTGGCAATTSATTTTATATCTCCTTTTCAAATCAAGAAAAACAGTTTACCTGGAAGGCGTGTCACACTGTAAGTACAACCACGTGTATTTGCATAGAYTCAAGTTTACGGTGAACKTTTCATTTATTTTCAAAACMTTAYACCAKTAAACACTTGAATTTYCATTTACCTTAGATTTTCAAGAGATGCTTGATCAAGGCTGTATATTTCTTCAACTTGAACTCCCGTACAACCTTAAATACAAATCAACAACAAGCAAGCATTCTGAGTACAGTCAGTACAATGACGTCTTTCGTAAAGATCTTCACGTCTGCACTTCCAAGGCCGTTTATACCCCCAAAATAAAATACCAAAATGCAATAAATCAGATGTATAATCTGAGCAAGAATCGCTTATTAATTGATCTCACCAAATCCTCGGATAAGCTCAGTAAAAACGCCAGGATCGCTCTCCATCAAACACCATTCTGCTCCGGCTGTCAACGCACCGGCCGCCATYTTGAAAACTGCCCATAAAGCTAATCGCGCTTCATTGAGCCAGCATTGATTGTGCTCAGCTGTAAAAAAATATGGCGGATTTGTTGTGTTGAATGGATGTTGAATATTTTTCTTCGAAAACTAAATTATATAAGAAAAAAATATGGTAAGTCAGAAATTATTACCTTAAATGTATTCTATCGGATTTATATTTTGCCGATATAGCGTGTTTTTAGAGTTGATGTCACTCAAGTAACGATGGGGGTGTAAAAAAATTCACAGATTAAATTAAGCTTAGATTTGTATTTTAACAACTACCTTTCTAAATGTTATGATTATTAAAGCTTTTACTGCATCTAATAACTATTTTAAATTGTCAAACCATGTATAGTTATGGTATACTAAACTGATACTTAGAATTTGGGCTCTGACTAAAACACAGGGTACCCAAATGAAAGACATCAAGATCTCTGACGAGGCACCAAAAACATTGCTATTGGACAAACACTCTGATTTTATAGCAAGCTATGGAAAAAAGAAAGACACAGATTATGTAAGTGCATATTATATGATCCAGATATGTTCTATATCAATGGCAATATAAGCCCCTTATTTCCAGATCCTTAGGATATAATTCTCAKTCCAAGGAACCCAAGTGAGATTGTAAATTCTTCACTGTGTAAGTGGCAGACATTTTGGAGAAAGGCCTGTTATCATATATTAAAATATATGATAATTCGTGATAATTTATGAAAATTTGTTCACGTTAAATTTAATCTATTTAAATCCTATTTATTCATCTTATCCATTTCATTTCAATTCATTATTCTTTAAGGACTATTGTATGACAGAGTATCTTCGAATGAGTGGTATATACTGGGGTTTAACTGCTATGGGTCTAATGAACAGACTTGACGTCATGGACAAGGATGAAGTAATCAAGTTTGTCAAGTCCTGTCAACATGAAAGTGGAGGTTTYAGTGCGAGTATCAACCATGATCCACACTTATTGTACACACTTAGTGCAGTACAGGTAAATTGAACAATAGTTTTCACCACAGCTACCTGTGCCATCTTGAAAGGTAGCCGTGCCTTTGCATCAAAGTGAGACAACCGTTGAGCATGCAGTGATAGAAACCTTCTTTCACAGCTACAGACAGTTATTCACAGGTATCTATCAATGCACGCTCAACGGTTGTCTCGCTTCGATGTAAAGGCAGGTCTACCTTTCAAGATGGTATGGGAACCATGAAGGAGACTGTTAGTCATTACTGATTGGATAATACAGCTGAGTGAATCAAATACATGTATATGCACTACAAAAAGAAAGAGTCATTGTCACAGAATCTAGTTTTTACATCATTTGAAAACATTGAATTGAGAAAAATGATGATTTACTTTTTCAAAAGATCCTCCTTCTATACGATGCATTAGAAGAAGTCGATGTCAAGAAAATTGTAGAATATGTAGTCAAATTACAGCAGCCAGATGGGTCTTTCTGTGGTGATAAGTGGGGTGAGATTAATTATAGCTACATGACAATTAACTGTATTTATATTATATTTCATACTCATTATTGATATAGACATTTTGGGGGCTTTCCAGACATCAAAAGTTTGTTTGAATTTTAAATTCTTTATATTTTTTTGTTTCACAATGGACTCAGCAGAGCTATAAGAGAAGCCATTGACTTGCTCCTTTGATTGAAGCAAACATTAAAAAAGTTTTCATTGTCACTACATTTGAATGATTTTGCTTCTGATTTGAATTGAACTAAAAACAGCCTCAATGAATGGATGAAATTCAAGATGTTTTTTTTACAGGTGAAATTGATACTCGATTTTCCTTTTGTGCCTTGGCTTGTTTACAAATTTTGGTAAGTAAGATTTTGAAAAAATGAAATAATCTTAGTAGTTTGTAGATCTAAATTATTTTTATCATACCTTTTATGCAGAATAATCTGGATGCAATTGATTTAGAGAAAGCAGTACTTTATGTTATTTCCTGTATGAATTTTGATGGAGGCTTTGGTTGCCGACCAGGATCTGAATCTCATGCTGGGCAGGTATGACCATTTAATAGGTTTTGTTTTATGCTTTAATTTCCCTTACTTTGGGTTTCCTGTGTTGCCACATGTTGGGGGCAGGCCCTTGTGTGTGTGTGTGTTTTTTTTTTTTTTCACAGGGAGCCCAAAGATACAAAAGTCTAGAAAATTAGTGTGGAAGAGGCTGTTCTTTGCTGATAAGCAACTTCATTTKACTTATTTTTCAGATCTACTGCTGCCTTGGTGCCTTGTCTATAGCCCATGCTCTACATCACGTCAATGTAGACATGCTAGGCTGGTGGCTTTGTGAAAGACAGCTTCCATCTGGTGGCTTGAATGGTGAGTAAGAAGTAATTCAGTTATAGAGCGGATTTCGTATGAGTGGGACACCGTTACCGCACGGTTACCGCACAGTTACCGGACCTGGCCTGCAGAATTTTGGTGAAACAAKGGGGCACTAGAATTTGGTTACAGTACGATTACGGACACAGTACAGTACTGTCCGTTTCCCACTCATACGAAATCCGCTCTATGTACGTATTTGTGAGGACCATTGTGTCCAATACTGCATGTACCTTTCATTAAGGAGTATTGAGTGTGTACAAGGCTACAAATACCAGTTTATTAAGGAAAAACTACTAGTATGAATTGCCAAACAATTCCATAAATTATATCATATTTGTGTTTTTGCTTTTGTCAACTAAAACTCTTATTGTCCAGTTGACAGTCATTTAAATGTAGATCATTTGATTGACAGGGCGACCAGAGAAGCTGCCTGATGTGTGTTATTCTTGGTGGGTCTTAGCTTCATTGAAAATACTTGGAAAAGTTCACTGGATTGACAAGGTGAGGAGTAAACAGTRWAATAGTCTTCTTCTTGAAAGGTARCYRYTCYTTTGCATCAAAGCTAGACAACTGTTGAGTGTGYAATGATAGAAACCTTCTTTCACACATACAGACAATTATTCACAAGTATCTTTAACKGTTGYCTYGCTTCGATGTTAAGGCACAGCTACCTTTCAAGATGGCACTGGTAACCATGAATGAAGGAGACTATTTTTATTTGCA